TCCCCCCCCCCACACCCCCTGAGTAGGGACCAGGTCAGTGGCTGGTGGCCCTGGCCCTTCCCTGAGATTGACTCACATGCGAGGCAGAGTGGTGTGGGGCCGGAAGGCTCACCAGGGCACCCGCATGGTGCTAGGCCTGTGCTGGCAGCCATGGCGGCCTGGGGCCTCCTTGGTGGGCCTCTTTTTGCTTCTTCTGGGATCCCTTCCAGCACTGATGGCTTGCGACTCCGATCTCTGGCCCTGTGCATCTGAGAAGAGCCGGGGAGGGGAGAGATTCCTGGGCATGTGTCAGACACCCTCAGGAGCCGCAGGGGCCCTTTGGGGAAGGCCAGCCAGATCCTCCATGCTGACTCTTCTTGTCACTCCTGTCCCGTCCCGACAGGTCCCTGGATGGCCGGCTGCAGGTGTCCCACCGGAAGGGGCTCCCCCACGTCATCTATTGTCGCCTGTGGCGATGGCCGGACCTGCATAGCCACCACGAGCTGCGGGCCATGGAGCTGTGTGAGTTCGCCTTCAACATGAAGAAGGACGAGGTGTGCGTGAACCCCTACCACTATCAGAGAGTGGAGACTCCAGGTACGGGGACACCTGGCACGGCGGGGCCCAGCCAGCCCCGGCCCCCCAGAGAGGGTCTGTGGGGGCTGGGGTGGGGCGTACACTGAGCTGCGTGTGCCTGTCTCCCGGACAGTCCTACCTCCTGTGCTGGTGCCCCGCCACACAGAGATCCCGGCCGAGTTCCCCCCGCTGGACGACTACAGCCATTCCATCCCCGAGAACACCAACTTCCCCGCGGGCATCGAGCCCCAGAGCAATATTCCAGGTAGGCGCCCAGCGGCCGTGCCCTGTCCCTGCGTTGTGCCGTCACCCCCTCTCCGCATGCAGTGCTGGCCCAGAGCCCCCGACTCAGAACCGCATCTCTGCTGGGAGCTGACCTGTGGCCTCAGCTCCCAGCGCACTAACGATGCTTTTCTTGGCTCGGAGGAGCCGCATGACCCTTCTGCCGGCCTCGGCCTCAGCGCAGTCATTTATTTTGGAAGCGGAAATAGCAACACTGTGTTTCCCTCCCCGCCCTCGTGGCTGGCGGCGGGGCTGGCGTTCAGGCCAGATCCCCGACGGGACTGCCGAGCCGGGGGGCCCAGAGGCAGTGGAGGGGCCCGGCGGGGCAGCCACTGTGGAGACCTGGCTCTGTAAGTACCAGGGCCTCAGGCATGGAGGGGCACAGCCTGGGCAGGAACTGAGGGCTCTGGGGTTTTCAAGGCAGGGAGAAAGGAGCTGCACTGTCAGAGGACAAAGGTTTTCAGAAGCCCCTTATTTGCATGCAAATGACGTGTGAGTCACCCTCACTCTGCAGTCCAGGAAAGCTGTGCTGGCTGCACTTGGGCTAGTCACGGTTTCCCAGGCCGGGAACCATCCTGCTGCGTTCTGAGTTCCCTTCCGAGCAGTGGAAATTGGTCGTGACTTCTGCCCTGGGTTAGCTTACTGTGCTGCAGTGGGCAGGCCTGGGTGCTTGAGCTGCAGCTTTAAAGAAAGACCCACTCCCCTCCTGCACATGCTGCTCTGTAGGGGTGAGTCACCCAGCCCCTGTTCAGAAACCTCGGAGGGGCTAGGTCAGGGTCTGGGCGGTGGAGGTGGGGCTCAGAGAGACAGGTCACAGTCCTGGCTAGTACTGAGCTCGCCGCCGTCCAGTTGGAAAGCTGGTATGTCCCCGGAGACACAAGTCAGCATGGGATCTGCACTAGACCACACGGAGGCCAAAGGGCAGGTAGAGGCTGTGCCTCTTGAGGACAGAGATGGTGAGGTGGGGCAAGTCCAGGAGCCCCCCTGGAGACGGGGGCTTGTCCTTGATCTTGAAGGCTAGCCTGGCAGGGGCTCTGGGAACAGGTGTGCCAGACCTGGGAGGCGGGGTGGTATGAACCAAGGTGGTTGCAGTCCAGGTGGGGGCTGGTGTTCTGACCAGATCCCGGATGGCTGAGGCCAGCCCCGGGCACAGCATCTGAGAGCCCTCACTGTGAAGCTCTGCGTCCCTCCGCACCTGACCTGACATTGTGGTGTGAATGTGAGATGCTTTCAGAAAAGAGCCGGAGACTGTTTAACAAGCCCCCCTCCTTCTGATCCCCAGAGACCCCACCCCCTGGCTACCTGAGCGAAGATGGAGAAACCAGTGACCACCAGATGAACCACAGTATGGACGCAGGTCAGTCACGCAGGAAGGCACTTGACCTTCCCTCAGTGGCCTGTCCCTCCTCTCCCGTCTCCACCCTCCCTGCCTCCTGCCTGTCTTGCTCCGCAGGACACATAGAGCAGCCACTGTGGCCGTGCCCTACCCGGTGCTGGGTATGCGGGGGCCCCCCGAACTGCTCTCAGGTCACAGGGGCACCGGCCAGGCAGCCACAGTCTTCTAATGTCTCGTATACACCTGCACAGACACTGCATGCCTCGGGGACGTGGAGCAGGGCCACGTCACCTTGCAGTGTGCCGGCTTCCCAAGCTGAGATGTGATCATGTGTCGTGTTAGCCCAGCTCCGAGGGTGGCAAAGGGTGTGCCTGGCAGAGTTGTAGGGCGGGGGCAGGGGCAGGAGAGCTGGCACTGCGTGCTGGAGTCCAGGGAGCACCCAGGGCATGGGGCTTGGTGGGGCTGGAGTACACTGCCTCCAGAGGGCCCAGCACTCAGAGGTCCATGGGTATGGACCTTCTAGCCAGGCAGACCACTCGGCGTGTAGCTTGGGTGCATGAGAAGCCATTGCAGGCTTTAAGTGGCCTCCGTGCCTCGGTGACGTGTTGCAGCTGTAGGATGGTGGCGGGGGCTGATGGCCTGAAACAGTACAGGGGAGAGGCAGCGGGAGCCTGGTAGAGGGAAGGCCTTCCCCGATGGAGACTACTAAAGTGCCTATTTTTACTCGGTGACCAAAGGGGATCATTTGCTCTGGTCACAAAGGACGTGGCCTAGATAGCTCCCTTAATGTCTCCAGATGTTTCCCGCGTCATTTGACATGGGCCCAAATTGGCTCCCAACCAGCAGCTTCTTGACTTGAACCCCAGCTGCCACACAGAGCAGGTCCTGCATGGCGTGTGGTTGGGTGAGGAGGGAGCCTGGCAGATGTGCCGTTCCGACGGCAGCAGCCGTGCCTTGGTCACAGAGCCTTCGGACACAGTGCAGCCACTTGCTTTTGCACGCAGACCCAAAGAGGTCTGCAGTCCCCAGAGAAGAACAGAAACCCACAAACGCCGTGCACGTAGCTGCCGAAGTCTGGCCTGGGCGCTGTGGCACTTCCATGTCGAGCACATACCTCCCCAATCAAACACGCCCACCCAGATGAGTGCTGGCAGCATGGCTGCAGCTGGAATGCATCAGAGCCCTGCCCGTGCTCCATGCCAAGTGGTCGCCGCACGCTCACAGCGATGAAATGCTGGCATGGGACGCCGGCCAGCTGGGAGCATTGGCCAGCACTGCACTCCTTCCCCTCGGCCTCCCCTCTTCCCTCTGTGTTTGTAAAGTGTCTGCTTTGTACCCAAACACAACCTGGGGGAGGGGCCCCCGCACGGGAGGAGCAGCCCCCTTCTGACCCTCTGGGCTCTCTTCTCTCTCCCTCATCCTCCTTTCTGCCCTCATTGTTCTCGGTCCTCCATCCTGTCCCCTCCTCCCTAAGTGTGCCTGCAGGGCCCAGCCATGAACACCAGCGATTTCTCTGCAGTGGAGTCAGGTCTGGTGGACCCCAGGCTTCATGGGCATGGGGCTGGGGGAGGTGTCTGCTATTTCCTCCCAGCTTTTCACTCGCAGTTGTCCCTTTGGCTCCCAGTGCAGCAGCTCTGGGGCTTGGATTCCCTGCAGCTGAGATGCGGTTGTGTATCCTCACATCACACGCGCCCTTTCAGACCCGTGAGAAGGGCCCATAGCCCTTCAGTGGCTTTAGGACCTTCCCCAAAGAGGAAAAATGAAAACCCTTAAGGAGTGCCTTCTGTGTGCCAGGCATGGTGTCAGCTTGGCCGTGGGCACGGTCTCGCCGAGTGTTCATGTCACGCACAGGGGCTATGCTCCCCATTCTGTGTCCGAGAGAAAACAAAGGCTCAGAGAGGTTGAAGGACTTTGCCGAAGTCACACAGCTCATCCCCGGGGGCCTGTGCAGACCCCATGACGGATCCTGAGACTGCACCTTCCCGGGCCTGTTCCACATCCTGTTTGAATGAGGAGGGGAGGAGAGACCTGCGGGTCAGCCCTTGGTGCCTGTCCTCAGGAAGCTGCAGCCACATTTGGGCGAAGTAAAAGACCCCGTGGACAGCCTGAGGCAGCGTGTGCTCGAAGCCAGTGCAGTGCCCAGCCACAAGGACTGAGAGATCGCAGGCGAGGCCAGGCCCCCTGGCTGGTCACAGATAGGCCTCACAGTCGTCTCTATACAGGGGCAAGAAGGGGCATGCAGCCGGTTGCCTTTTGTTTCTTTCGGAGGCTGACCCCACGTGGGTTTTCCCTTCGTTCTGCACGTGAGGCAGAGGAAAGACAGCAGAGAGAGCTCTGGGTAGACGTGGGCTCTTTCCCCTGAGTCTTGCATAAAGCGTCAGTCTGCTTGCCGAGTTGCAGGACTGCTGAGGAAGGCTTGCGCGTTTCCTGAGATTGGTATTTCCAGGTAACTGAGCACAGGGAGCAGTGACTGCTGGGGTAGGGGAGGCCCCAAGCTGCACTCACGTGAGAGGCTGGCCTTCGCCGCCCGGGCCAGTGAGCAGCTGGGACAAGGGCTTCCCACTCGCTCTGTTTCCCTGATGGCGTGGAGCACGGGACAGGTGGTGAGTCGGACAACAAGCGTGTCACCTGTCCTGGCCGAGAACGCGGGAGCCCTGTGCTGGGAGTCTCGGAGACTCCTAAAGTCATCAAGTCGTGGAAGAGGCCTCTGAGCTCATTCACTCGACCCGCTTATTCCACAGATGAAGAAACCCGGGCCCAGGGGAGGGATGTCTGGGCAAGGGCAGGGCTGGGTCTTCTCCTGCACCTGGAGGCCCATCCAGGGTCTCTCTGTGTTGCGCCCATCTGCCCCCATCTCGGAGGGCCCAGAAGTTTGGCTCTGCAGGCCAGCATCCTTCACGGAGTCTCACAGCTGTGTCTCCTCTCACAGGTTCTCCGAATCTCTCCCCGAATCCGATGTCCCCAGCACACAATAACCTGGGTGAGTATCTCATCCCCCTCTAGCCGCGGCCCTGGCTAATGGCTGGTGAGGGGAGGGGCCTGGCAGGTGAGGCTCCCCAGCCCGCACCCCCACTGTCAGCCCAGCTCAGCCCAGCTCAGCCCTTCAGGTTTCTGGTTACAGTGATTCTGGGGTCACCGCGGAACCAGGAAACCTGAGAACAGTGGTGGCGGAAAAGGCGACCATGTGTTGGGTTTATATTTCCCCTGGGTGGCGGTTAGACGTGAGTGGATGAAAACCCCCAGACCGTCTGCCCAGGAAAGCAGGGCCTTTGGTCAGCCAAGCACACGAGCGTGGTTTGGTGCACAACCACGGGCAGCCACGCAGACTCCGTCCCCCGACATCCACAGGCTCGTTTCAGACACTCACTTGGGTTATATCTGAGCAGTTCATCTTACAATTATGTCATTTTTATTAAAACAGCAACCTGTAAGGAATTCAAAGGGGAAAAAATGGTGCATGTGCCCGTAATCCTGCCACACAATCACACTTTCCATTTTCTCACGGTCCCTCTGATTTCTGTGTGTCGGGGGTATGTGTTCACGCCTGGCTACTGGGAACACAGTGCGAATCCGTTTTTATTCTCTCTAGTCTCTGCGTTGCCTCGTAAACACGTTCCATGTTTAGCTGCCTGGTCTGTCATTGTGCGTGATCTCGTGATGCCTTGGTGCGGCCGGATGGTCGTTTCCAGAGCACCCCTCAGCTCGGGGCTTCGGGCCAGTCTCGCTCTTCTCACCGGGGAGTGCCCCCAGTTGTCTAGGTGGGAGTTGCTGTGGGGAGTCCTTCATGGCTTCGGCGTGGAGCCTGCCAGAGGGTGCAAATCAAATGTCACATCCGTGTAGTTTTATAGAGGGAAATTGTTTACATTCCAGTCTCAAAGTTTTATAAAAGGTGAGTTTGAAGGCTGGCCTTGTGGCCTAGTGGTTAAGGGAGCTGGATCCCACATGGCCAACCAGAGTTCAGATCCTGGCAGGATGGAGAAATGGGGGAGAAGATACTGCAGGGTGGTCATCCCATCGGGTGCCGGTCTCTCTCTCTCTCTCTCTCACAAGCACATGCAACTTCTGGCCAAAAAGAAAAAAAAAATGGAGAGAGAAGAAGGAAATGTGAGTTTGGTTTAGTTCGGGGCTTTATTGCCAGGGCTTCCTCTGCCCTTCCCGTCCAGGCGTGGTGAGTCACAGCAGGGCGTACTGGCCTTGGAGCCTTGGCTGATAGCATCAGATGAAGAAACGCCTCCTGGGAAGGCCGAGATGTGGGCAGTGTGACATGCGACTTTGCGGATCCGTTTCAACATCTTTGTAAAATAATATCACTGTGGGCCGGGCCTTGCAGAGGAAGGCCGAACGCCTGATAGGAAAGGACCGAGTTCTGACAAACAGGCCGTGAAGGCTGGAGGCTGGGCTCACACTTGAGAAACCTCGCTCTGGGCTCTCAGCTGTGACCACGGGCCGACTGGAGTATTTTCGGAGCTGTCGTACCCGCCGCGCTTCAGGTCAACAGGCTGTGAGGCCAGCGCTGGCCTGGCCGGGAGCCGCAG